CAGCGATCTGCAGCAAACTGCAGCGAACTGCAGTAAACTGCAGCGATCTGCAGCAAACTGCAGCGAACTGCAGCGAACTGCAGTAAACTGCAGTGACTGCAGTGAACTTCAGTGAACTACAGCGATCTGCAGCGAACTGCAGCGATCTACAGCGAACTGCAGCAAACTGCAGCGAACTGCAGCAAACTGCAGTGACTGCAGTGAACTTCAGTGAACTACAGCGATCTGCAGCGAACTGCAGCAAACTGCAGCGAACTGCAGTGAACTGTAGCGATCAGCAGCTGCATCTCCCACAGTGAGAGAACAAAAAAAGAGAAACGGCTTCTTAGCAGTTCTTAAACATTAGACAAACACTAAGATTTACCCATGAAAGAAATGATACTTGAGAAACCCTGAAAACATTGTCATTTATTGGGGTTATTTATTTTACATTTATTGCACATTTTATCAACTAGTTTTTCATGCGAGTATAACCTTTATTAACTCGTCACTCACTCCACTAAAAGCGATTAAAGGCGTAGACCTTCAGACACCCACCTGACCAAAGCCAGCAACGCCACTGCAACCACGGGTTTAGCAAAGTACTCCATGCTCTGATGAACCACGATGCCGTCTATAGCCTTCCCGTAGTAGAAAGGAATGAAGGCCTCACCTGGAGAAACCACAACAGGTTTGGTCTGTTAGCGGTTTATTTGCATTAATCTTTTCTCCTTTCTAAGCAGAGCGTAAAGTAAACATGCAGATAAGGACAATAATTGAATTATTATTGGAAGGTCAAGAAGTTGAGAGACTAATATTGATATATTTTATCTTCTGTGAAATCTCTGTAACTGGCAGCACAATATTAAAATACCTGGAGGTGAGAATCTTTTTAATGTTTACCGTTCTTTTTTAACCCCTTAAGCCCTGAAGGTCTAAGGAGCAAAATTCCATCTGTGAATTAAAGCAAGTTCAGCTCCCAAACTAATTACTGCAAATACAATTATTTGTATTATTATGACAGAAAGGCAAAAAGGAATATTTTTCAGGTGCAACCACTATTTTATGATTTATAGGTGATTAAACAAAGAAAAAATGAAAACTATTTAGACTCGCCAAATTTCTTTCCAAAATAGACTTTATAGATCCACATCTTGACTATAACTCAAGTAAGTTTGGACTGAATCAGTAGAAGCATGTTTGTTCCACAAAAGTTTTAGTGGGCAGAGTGCTGTGAGGAAATGGGATTTCGGCACAATGGTCCCAAAATTGCAAAAACACATTTTTTCCACTCATTAAAGGGAATCTGGTCAGACTAATATGCTGATTTCCATTATTGGAGACCTTCTGCATGAGGCAAAGCCTTTGCTCCTAAGATTTAGCCGTTGTTTCATTGAAATTTACCAAAATTATTACCAAACTGAATAGAAAATGAGAATAACAGAGCAGCTTATTTAACGCATCACCTGAAATTGTTGCATAATGACCTCTGACCCCTCCTTGGAAAGGTCCGAGCCTCTAGTTTCCAATGATGGCGGCCATTAAGGGGGCGGGGCTAACAATGAATACCTGCTGTTGCATTACTGCAGAGTTACACATGGCAGGTTGAATTTTAAATCAAATTTTATTTGTTTACGCAGCTATAAAATAAATCCTTTTGAAACATGTTTTAGAAATTTTAAAGCCCCATTTGAAAGGCGTGTGGATGAAACACCATGTGACTGTGTTTGGGCCATTTCTATAAATAGATACACATGAGCAGGTGTCAGTTGGGCCCTGTATCAGGCCCGCGGGTTTAAGAGGTTGAGCTAATCTGCAGTTCTAGTTGCTTTCTGTGACTTTAGGTTTCCAGGTAAACAAAAAGCTGATTTAAAGTCGTAGGGAAGCGGCTGTTCCAACCGTTGCATTTCCGAATTCTCCCGAGTGGAGCCTGACTTTACAGGAGTGAAAGAAGTGAATGTGATTGGTTGATTATCAAGGGGGCGGGATTGTTGTGGGGGAAGGTTTGCAAGTCAGTTTGCAAGTCAGCATCTTGCTAACCAGTTAGCATCTTAG